ACTCACACTTCTCCATTCTTTTCGAAGCCCCATTACAAAGATGAGATTGAATTCCATTGAAGTCCTGGTAATTCCATAGCGATTGCAACGATAGATTAACTCGTTCAGACGATCATAGTAAACTTCAATTGTTTCTCCTTCTTTTTGTTTGAAGTCTTTCAACTCAACCAAACACTGTTTAACTGAATTGATTTTTGTCTTCTCACTTCCTTGAAATTTATCTTTCAGATTGTTCCAGATTTCCTTTGCAGTTGTACAACTCCTAACGTAATTGTACACAACTGGAGGTAATGCACCTCGCAGTTCCCTCATACACCTCTTCTCCAGTTTCTTCAGACGATCAGTTTGATTATCAACTCCAGAATTTGTAGAAGATGATCCAATTGGTTGAACATTCACTGGAACATTGACATTTCCAGTGATACAAGACCATAATTCTTCATCCAGACCATTCAGATAATACTGCATACGATCAGCCCACTGATCATAGTATTCAGGGATTAGCATTGGAATTTTGGTTGATGAACCTAGCAGATGAGAAAACGAGGTCATCGAATTGAGATTGAAACTCGCCATTGTTGTACGGAAGAAGATTTTGAGAAGTTTGAAAAGATTTGAGAATTTGAAAACAAACTAGATGAATCAAATCGAATTGATGAGAATAACACTCGATTCAACAATTCAAATGCAGAATCGAATAACAGACTAAGATCATGACAATTTTTCACTTTCAAAAAGTGCGGAAACTTTTGAATCAAAGAGTTGATTCAAAAACTTTTTAAACAGCGTGAAAATCAGATCATAGATATGATTCCTGCTCTGATACCAATTGATGAAACAATGAATCGAGTAATGAATTAATCAGAGTATGAATTCAAGTAAGAATGCGAGATTTGAACACAGGATGTAAATATGATCTTGTTATGCTCTATTATGCTTTCGAATTCTTTACAGAGTGCAATAGACAAGTCTGTAAAAGTTCTTATCTAACTCTAGTAAATAACCCTATTTATAGGGAACTGAAAGCATACAAAAAATATACTAAGGCATTGACTCTAAAGCTTCGAATAAAAGCGTCCTAGTAAAATACATTACAAAACATTCGAAGAGTCCAAAACATACTTCGACTAATTACAACAATTAGACCCTTACAAGGGGAATCCTAGAAGATCTCATTAGACTGCAGTGAAGAATATTCTTAAGTATTTGCGAAGGATGAAGGAAATATTTCTGGTCCTTGGTGGCAGTGATACATTAAGAGTAACTAGGTATAGTGACACCAACTTTCAGATAGATCGAGACAACTTTTGTTCTCAGTCGGGTTGGGTGTTTGTGTTAAATGGTGGAGCAGTGACTTGTAGAAGTTCCAAGCAGGATACGGTGGCTGACTCTATTTGTGAATTAGAGTACATCGCAGCGAGTGAGGCATCGAAAGAGGTGGCTTGGTTGAAGAACTTCATCGGCGATATCAGAGCAGTCCCGAACATTCAAGATTCATTGGAACTTTTTTGTGACCATGAAGGTGTGGTTTCTTTGACCAAAGAACCTAAGGATCATGGTAGATCCAAGCATATCGATAGAAAGTGCCATTACATCAGACATAGGGTTGAAGAATGTCATCTCCTGGTGAAGAGAGTATCCTTAGAAGATAATCCTGCAAATCCTTTCACGGGGGGCTCTGAGTAGGGTTAAGCATAACCAACACGCTAGGAGCATAGGCTTGAGAGATGATATTAGTTTTAGTAGTTAGTTGATAGTTTGAAAATTGTAACAAAATAAATGTAATTGATTTTGGTGATTAAATAATAGAGATTATTTATGAGTATGGTTACTGCCTTTTTCAATGGTTTGTTCTTGTGTTTCATTTTGCATATTTTACTTCCTGATTGATTTGATTTTTCAAAACCCCATAGTCACTCATACTTTTGGATACAAGTAGTGAATCAAAGATTGTCATGAATAGATTGTAGATTGTCTATGTGGATTAGACATTGCATTGGTTGCTACAATATTCATGAGTACTTAGAAAATAAAGATTTTGAGTAATGGATAAACCCACGTGCATAGATTTACTTCATGGATTATATCACAAGTAATTTTGAGATGATAATATCTTATATTCTTGAAATAGAGACATATGACTTGTAATTTACAAGTCGGTTGTGCATTGGTGTTATGAAAACGCATCAGTAACGTGATGTTATAAAACGTAGTGTCATGCATGATTTGGTGAGTAAAAGATACAAGCATATGAGTTGAAGTTTATTCATCCCTTTTACCCTAATGGGTAAAGCAATATCTTTGGGCCCCTCAGTGATTTGGTGTTGACATTGTACTGTTGGGCCTAACAAGGACTGGATTGATGTGTTTAATTAGTAGTCTTATGAGGTCATCACAAATCAGGAAATCGGGAAATAGAATTTTGGACAAGAGATTGATTGTAATCCATGTCTCATGTCTATACGATATCTTCAAGAACAAAGGAATATTTGATCACTTATCTTGGGTCGATGTCTGATTAGATCAGAGTCTAGTAGTTGCTTTGGAAAGCATGCTTTGCTGTTTAATTTAGAAGATATACTTGCAATTATAGTTACAGACTTATCCAAGTGGGTGACTATTGGATTAGGTGTCTAAGCCAATAACTAAATTGGTATATACTTGAATTAAAAGCAAAGTCCTTTTTAGGTTTCCCTCAAAATTAGTAATTGACAAAATGACTTTTGGAGAAAGAGGTTGATTTATGGTTTATTATATGATTATTAAATAGAAATAAATAATTTATTAATATATTATGAGATTAATATATTAAGTATAAATAGTATTATTTAATTAATAGTTAATCATAAATTAATTGGAATTAATTTTGGGATTATTTGGATTAACTAAAGGTGAAGGGACTAAAGTTGTAATTGTTTAATAGTTGAACAAGAGAAGGATTCTGGGAGATTACTAGGGTTCGCCGAAATTTGGTTTAATCCTAGAGTTTCTAGATTATTCCATATGTATAATATGAATAACTAGGGAAGAACCCCGCTTTGCGAGGTTGGGTACACCAAAAAAAACGTCAAAAGTAGGCTGAAATAAATATGGAAATATTGGTTAATTTTAGCTATTGTTGCAATAAATCCAGACATAGGGTATAATGGTCATATATTACTATTATTAAATTCCATCAGGTAGATAGAAATTATTTGATAATCAATGAATGTTGTTACCGTAAGAATAAGTATGTGATTAATGGCTTATAGTGCAAACACATAACAAAGATTAACCTAATGCGCATCCAAATCTTTGTTAGCAAAATGTAGAATTAAGCTCAAGAACCTATCATTCCCAAATCACTTTCCATAGCTGATATCCCTATTACATACTTGGTGTCTTGCTTTCTTGCAACTCTTTGTATGTTGGATTGTGTTAAAGGTCATTGAAGATAATGAAAAAGAAATTCAAAATTCAAAATTTTTTACCTGCAAAGATTAAAATAATCTGGAAAGAAAAATCAGATGAGGGTTATGATTAAATAAACGAAATTATAGAATTAAATTGAAGGATAGCTTCACTTAGGCATTTCACTAAACATCTAATATGCACCTACTCGATTTCTATCGGATCATACACATAATCCTAGAGCTAACCATTGTTGGACATGACAGTAAAAGTATAAAAAATGGAGACAAAAGACTTACCTTAGCATCAACAATCTGAGCCTCATAATGAGGCACAAATTCTCCAATGTTATGTTGTACTTTGATATCATATCTTTCTCCTTGCAACATCTTATTTTGATTTTATAATGTTTCCACCTGAAAAAAAAATTGGAAAAACAAATATCTCAAATCAATCCCAAATGTTGTAGTTAATTTTATTGTATGGTTCTGGATTATCCTGTTTATATTACCTTCTGATGGGCCCTTCCAAGCTCATCCCTTAAAGAATCTAGCTTCTTTTCTACAACGATTCTACCCTCATTTTCTTTCTTAAGACGTTCAAGGGGTTTCTATTCAGGCTATAAGTAATTTAAAAAATATACGTTCAATTATATGAAGGAGAATTTCATCCGGGGGCTTTCATTTTTAGCTCCATCCAGTAAGAAATTAAAAATAGAATAGCAAAGCATATACCAGTCATGAGCGATAGCGAAGCCTAGAGAGGCGGAAGCAGTAGCTTCTAGGACGAAGCAGGGTATTGAATAGAAAAAAATTACCTTCTAAAAATTGACAGTGATGCGACAATAAATGTCAACTTTTTTCTTAATCTCATGATCTCCATTGTTGGTACCAATGTTTTAAAAACCGGTTTTTAGTTGAACCGGTATGGTGACCGGTTTCCGGTTCAACCGGTTTAACCGGTTCGACCGCTGAGTAAACCGGTTTCTATAATTTTCATCTTTTTTCGTATTTTCGCACACATACCTACATACACAAATCAAGAATATGATGTCCATACGTTCAAACATTAAAATACACATGAAAACATGTTATAGATCATTCTAAAAACATTAAAATAACTCATAACCATAAGTTTTACATCAATCTACGTAGATAAAAAAGAAAATAAAGTCCTAGATAAATATAAATGCATCAAAAAACTTCATAACATTTATCATATGCTTTTATTTAGAAAAATTATAATAAATGTGAAAAAACTACTAAAGTTTATTATGCAAAAGGTTTCAATTCCATGTGTTTTTATTCAATTTAACCGGTTTAATTGAACCGGTTCAACCGGATTTTTGTAAAAACCAGCCGGTTCGATCTGGTTCAGAAATAGACATAAAACCGATGATAGTTAAACCGCTCCCTTCCCCGATTCCCGGTCCAACCGGTTCGACCGGCCGGTTCAAACCGGTTTTTAAAACATTGGTTGGTACTGTAGAAGGGGGGTTCAAAGAAGAAAAATAATTACACATTAAAAATGAATTTAATTCAACAATATGCAGAGAAATTGAGTCGAATAACATTGTTTTCATACCAGCAGATCTACTTCTTGACAATCCCTTAGGTTTCTTTATCTTCCATGTCAGCATCTGCATCTTGATTTTGTGAATTGTCTGTACTTGATGACGTGTCATCTCCACGAAAACTTCCCACCATTAAAGCTCCCTAAAAACAATGATCACATGCAAAATTACTTATTTGCCCTTCTTTTTCGTTCATTCCATCTTCTCTCATGTTAAATTTGTTTTTTTGGAATGTATTGGTAAAATAGTCATTTAGTTGAGTTGGACCAATCCATCATCTATTTCATAATCGATTTCACCATGTTTAGCAATTCCAGCAGCATGAATTTTAAGGATTTCCATTCTGGATTGCTCATTTGGAAGTGGAATCTCTATTTTTCTGTCTAATCGACCTGGACGAAGAAGATCTGGATCAAGAACATCCGGTCTGTTTGTTGCCATAATCATTTTCACCTAAAAAATCCACATCAATTTTTCAAACGGGAATTCAAAAGAAAACATTTAGTTATTTTTTTACAAACATTTCCAAGCTGATCAAATCCATCAAGCTGATTCAGCAACTCCATGAGTGTTCTCTGGATTTCACGATCAGCACTGGTTCCCTCACTAAAACGACGCCCACCAATCGCATCAATTTCATCCATAAATATAATGCACGGCTGCAACAACACCAAAAAATAAATATCCATATAACAACTATTTACATAATTAAAAAGAATAAAGTAAAAGTCAAAAGTTTTTTTTCAAAGGTATATATAAGCAGGCATTACTTGGTGATCACGTGCATAGCTGAACATCTCCCTGATCAATCTTGCACTCTCTCCAATGTACTTATCAATAATCGCACTTGATACAACCTATTCAAAATTCCATTCCCCAAATCTTAAAAACAATACATTTTCATGAAATATAAAATTAAATAATAAAAATATATATATACCTTCAAGAAATTAGCATCTATGTTGGTAGCAATTGCTCTAGCTAGTAAGGTCTTTCCAGTACCAGGAGGTCCATACAGAAGAACATCCTAAGCAGAACCAATACACATTTGTAAAATCCCATATATATATATATATATATATATATATATATATATATATATATATATATATATATATATATATATATATATATATATATATGGAATATAGACTTTGTTAAATTTATATACACAAGAAAATTGTAGGAAATAGCAACATACTTCACTCTATTTACCAATATATAACAAATAAAGTACAAAATGAAAGCTTGATGGGTAATTCTGGGAATTCATCAATCTCGAAACTTGTGTAATCTTTTTGTAGATCTGTGAACTCTAGACACTTTATTCTTCACTTGAACATATATATAATTTCATAAAACTAAAAGAAGAAGAGTAAAATGAAGCTGAGTAAGAACAGGGCGGTGGCACCGGGAAGTGAGACGGCGGCGGAAGGTCCAGGTGGTGGAGGGCTATAATAGTAGTAAGGGAAGTATGGCATAATTGGGTTGGGTGGTCCTGGTGTCGGGTAATTGCTGTATGGTGGTGGGTAGGTGTAGTAAGGACCCTGATCGGAGTTTGGTGGAGGTGGGTAGTAGTAGCCACTTCCACCACCACTTCCACCGGAGCTAGGGGAAGCAGGCGGTGGAGGACAGTCGATTGATATCGGTGGGGAGGGTTTGGGTATGGACGGTGGTGGTATTTCATCGAAAACCTCATGGGCATGAACAAAGAGCGCAAAGTTGCCAAATACTTGTAATACCCAAACAAAAATAAAAAAGGAAGTGGGAAAATTCTTAGAAGAGAAAGAGTTAATGATAACCTTATAGAGAAATTGATGAGTAAAGACTGAGAATTTGGATCGACGCCCTCAATCCTTCACTTCGTCTTTCCCCTTCCCTCTCAATTTCTGGTAACGGTGGGTCGAACTTGAAGACGCAAATAAGAGGAGTCGCACTGGCAGATCAAAGTAGAGTGAGGATTAGGAGACCAAGTGAAGTTGGAGTTGAGACATAGTGATCAGAACGACAGTGGCGGTAGCAGGCTACCTTTATGGAGAGAAATCATGTAGATTGGCGGAGGGAGCAGTAGGAGAGCAGAAGAATACGTGTGAAGAAAGCCGATGACCATGGGAATTGAAGCCTAGCTCCAAAGAACGAAAGCAACTAAGGATTTCACTATTAACCGGCTATACCAACCACATACGCCAAACTACAAAACCATTGGCTTCAAACTTGTACTGTTCATTAGAGTACTTGCCTTTCGTCAACCTCCGGCCTAGGTTCCACTTCCACCAGAAGCTTGGTAAATCGATTGTTGATCGACCCTTTGTAAATCAAAGATCAATCGGAGGTGTGTAGCTAAAGAGGGAGGAGACTGAGTGTGGATTGACGGTAAGGTGAAGAAATGGGGAAGCGGGGAGGTTTTAGGGATTTTTAATCGGAAGAGATAAAGAAGAAGCGGTGGACCCAATCCAATCTCCGTTGGATTAAAGAGTCGGTGTCATTAGAAGCTGGGCAATGAAGAGGTGATAACACGTAGTGTCTATCGGCGGTAGGTTCTATGAGGAGACAACACGTAATGTTCCAGCAAGCAAAGAAATAAAAAAAAACAAAAAACAAAAAAAATCAACCAATCACATGAAAGTCCTGTTCACTAGGTACTTGTAAATTAGTATATATATATATATATATATATATATATATATATATATACATATAAAATAAGGAAACTAGATAAAATCAAGATTTGAAATAATATTATTTTATTACAAATTAGGGTTATCTAGGGTTTTCCTATCAGTTATAAATACTCAATAGAACCCTTTGCATATGATTTTCAGTCACCCAAATTCATAGAAGGATAGCCGAAATTCTCATCCCCTAACCTCTCTCCTCTCAAGCCTTCTATTGCTAAAGTTTGGGTACAAACCATTAGAGACATTGGATTTCTGGTGCTAGCTTTCCAAGAGATCAGAAGAAAGAAATTACTTTGATTATTTACTATAATAATTAAAGGGTATTGTAACGCCCGTGTTTCTGGGCTAGGCATTAATGACGATGTAATAGTCTAAGTTAACCTTTGTAACACATTTTGAAATAATAAGAATGTATTATTTGAGTATTATGTGCTTTATGCTTAACTGTGTGGCCTAAATGAATTAAGTATAAAAATAAGCGATAAAATAAAATGTTAGATAAGACCTATATCGATACATGAAGACGTGGTGGTCGTTACAAGGTTTCCGAATATATAAAGAATGCTGAAATCCGAGTTATAACGAAGAAGTTATGACCTGTCTAAGTTTCGCGACAGAACCGACACGACGCTGAATGACGTAAAATATGAATTTAAGATAGAGCGATATTTGGCCTTAGCAATCTAAACGAAAGTCGTAGAATATGTTAGAGTGTGCATAAGAAGAACGTCCAAATCAGACTTCTTATGAGGAAGTTATGATTTTTCTAAGTTTCAGCTTAGCAATATGCAGCCCAAAGTTCGAATATGAGATCGAGTGGTTTCTAGCCGAAACAATCTAAACGAGAATCGAAGATCTCGTCGATAGTAGTCCAACGGTGAAAAGACAGACGAAAACGGACGTCAAACGAAGAAGATATGATTTTCTAACGGAGTTTTCCTGTTCCGGCCTACTAAAATAATATAATAAAAGTTAAATCAAAATTAGCCGACGGAGTCTAAACGAAAGTTGTAGAGCATAATCTCACCTACGCGTGGATATAAAGAACGTCGAAAACGGATCTCGTATGCGAAAGATATGAATTTCCGAAGTTTGGAACACAAACTTCGAGGTCTGTCAGAACTCACGACGTGAGCAGGGTCCTCACGACATGAGCAGGCAAGTTGCAATGACGCACTGGATGATGATCGAGCTCACGACGTGAGCATAGCATTTTTTCCCTATAAATAGAAATCAAAGGGGCAGCCGGGTTTGGTTGTTCCTTTCTCACTCTCTCACTCCATATTACCTCGATTTACGTGCAAGTTATACCCCCGAAGCCCCGGTATCATCCCGAGACCCGAAGCGAGTCCCAACACTCTGAAGATCCTGAGAAGAAAAGAGTTTTCGAGCCGAAGCTCTGCCCGCGAGAAGCCCGGTGTGTGAAGAGATCACGGTTTCACAGAAGAATACTACTCTTAGAGCCGTAGTGCTGTTCGATCATCTTCTGATCAAGTGAGTGTATATTCCTTTTGGGAACAAATTCCACAACTCTTTTAAATCAAAGGATTACTCTGAAAATTATTTTAAAAGCATAAATTAAATCGGTCTTTTCTGGCCGTGATTTTGGGGATGTCACAGTTGGTATCAGAGCATTAGTTTAAGCGAACTAGGAAGTTGTAGGATTTCTAGACTTAAACTTAGAATGCTAAGTGAAGATTTTGAGATAGTGTCTGTTATATTTTAGACAAGAGCACTAGTTTATTTTAGGAAAGTTACCTAAAATGCTTTTATGTGCTAAATGTTATAGGTTTGCCATATATGATATTATTTGTTCGGATCTATGGTTTGTTGCCAACCGGATCTGGAGACCTTATGTGTTTAAGATTCTAAGCGTAGGATTACGGTATTAAAACTCGCATGTAAACGTTTCGGAGTGATAAGGATGATTTGATTATCTATCGTGATTGAGGATCTAAATTCACCTTGTTCGGTGTATAGATCAACGATGGCAAGAACAAGAAGTGGTGTTGGAAACGCAGACGAAAACATGAATCAACGGCTTCAACCACCAGTGATTGAGCAAATACCTGTTGTAACAGCAGCACCTGAGCCAATGACAATGGCTGGTGTACAATTGATGATTCAGACGATGTTGGATCATCAGATGGAAGAAACTAGACGCCTGCTGCAGCAGAATCATGAAGAACCTTCAATGTCGATTGAACAGCCCGAATTGAATGAAGGGCATTCGGAAGGAGGAAACTTCATTGGGATTATTGGTCAAGCCAGCCCATCGGTGGTTAGACACAACAACCAGGATGGATGAAATGATGGGTGTGGGTGTAATTACAAGGATTTCATGGCATCCAAGCCACCATGTCTATCCGGAAGCCCGACGCCGGTAGAAGTTATAAACTGGATCTCCGAAATGGAGACAATGTTTGAAAGTTGTGAATGCAGCAACAGACAGAAGACCTCTCTTGCGATCCCTCTGTTAAAGTCTGGAGTGTTGAGTTGGTGGAAGCTGTTAGCTAACTCGATGCCCAAGGGAGAAGCTAGCAAGATGTCTTGGGAAGAATTTGTGGAACAACTGAAACTGCAATACTGCTCAGAGCAGGACCTTCTGGAAATCAATAATGAGTTTCAGAATTTGAAAAAGGGAAAAATGAGCGTTACTGAATACGCTGCAAGTTTCACAGAAAAGATGAAGCTTATCCCATACCTAGTACCAACAGAACTCTCAAAGGTCAATAAGTTTGCCCTCGGATTACCAGCGGACTTTGGTCCAATGGTTAAACAAGCAGCGACATTGAAAGCCTCCATCTGGGCTGCTAGAAATGTTGAGACCTAGATCAGGGAGAAGGGTCTGGAGAGGTCAGAGGTTGGTGAGAAGAGGAAGTTCGACGGACCCTCAGGGTCCAGCAAGAAGGGTAAATTCGCGAAATCCGGTTCGAGAGGAGGTGGAGGAGGCGAAGCGAAATGGTGCGACAAATGCAAGAAGAAGCATCTTGGGAAATGTGGCGGGGAAGCCACATGCTTCAAATGTGGAAAGCCATGGCACTATGACAACGAATGCACCCTTACCAAGAAAGTCTGCTATGAGTGTGGTGAGGAGGGTCACATCTCGAGGGATTGTCCGAAAAAGAAGGAGGCAGCAAGACCCAACATTCCACCAAAGCCGAAGGCGAGAGACTTTCAGATGACACTTGAAGCTGCTAAAGAAGAAGCTGATGTCGCTTCAGGTACCTTTCTTGTAAACGAATTGCCTGCCCAAATTTTGTTTGACTCAGGAGCCAACTACTCCTTTATTTCGCATGAATTTGGTAGAAAACTAGCTTTGCCTGTTGATAGACTAGATAATGCTTTATTAGTCGAAGTTGGTAGTGGCAAGTTTATACCTGTTATCCATCGTATGAAAAGCATCTTAATTGATTTGAATGGGAATAAGTTCCACGAAGAATTATTGCCTATTGAGTTAAATGGTTTTGACATCGTGCTGGAAATGGATTGGCTTAGCGCCAATGATGCCGAAATACTGTGCAAGAAGAAGATAGTAAAAGTAAACCCGCCAGGAAAAGAGTCATTTATGGTGTATGGGGACAAACGCAGAGTAAATTCTGGAATCATTTCTCTAATGAAAGCCAGAAAGTGTTTGGCCAAAGGATGTACATCATATTTGGCATTCGTGATTGATGCAAAGAAGGAGAAAAAGGAGATGCAGAGCATTCCTGTGGTGTGTGAGTATCCGAAAGTATTTCCCGAAGATCTTCCTGGATTACCACCTGATCGACAAGTAGAATTCCGTATTGACTTGTTACCAGGAACCACACCAATAGAAAAAACACCTTATCGATTAGCACCAACGGAGATGAAGGAGCTGATGATGCAACTTCAGGAGTTATTGGACAAAGGTTTCATTAGACCTAGTTCATCACCCTGGGGAGCTCCGGTGTTATTCGTAAAGAAAAAGGACGAGAGTATGAGAATGTGCATCGATTACAGAGAGCTGAACAAGGCAACAATAAAGAATAGATATCCGTTGCCGAGGATTGATGACCTGTTCGATTAACTACAAGGTTCAAGTTATTTTTCAAAGATCGACCTAAGGTCAGGATATCATCAGCTGAAGGTGAGAGAGCAGGCTATCGAAAAGACTGCATTCAGAACAGGATATGGACACTACGACTTTTTGGTTATGTCGTTTGGACTAACCAATGCTCCAGCAGCATTCATGGATTTAATGAACAGAGTTTGTAATCTGTTCCTTGATAAATCTGTGATAGTGTTCATAGATGACATTCTGATTTACTCGAAAAGCCAAGAGGAGCATGACAGACACTTGCGAGAAGTGTTAGAAGTCTTGAAGAAGGAGAAGTTGTATGCTAAGTTCTCCAAATGTGATTTTTGGATTCGAGAAGTCCAATTCTTGGGTCACGTGGTCAACCAAGAA